CTGCATCGAGCTCATTGAGAAGGTATCCTATTCTATCCATTCAGTCTCCTCTCCTCGTATACTCTGCCACTCACCACTGCAGCTCACGTTTTCCCCATCTGCATTTTACCTTGCCTTAATCTAGCCTATGGGCATCTTCTCCATCCTGGAAGAGGAGTGCATGTTCCCCAAGGCCACAGACACTTCCTTCAAGAACAAGCTGTATGAACAGCACCTGGGCAAGTCTGCCAATTTCCAGAAGCCCAAGGTGGTCAAAGGCAAGGCTGAGGCCCACTTCTCACTGATCCACTACGCGGGCACCGTGGATTACAACATCACCGGCTGGCTTGACAAGAACAAGGACCCGCTGAACGAGACCGTGGTCGGGCTGTACCAGAAATCTTCACTGAAAACTCTAGCTTTCCTCTTCTCTGGGGCTCAAACTGCTGAAGCAGGTAGTACTAAAAAAATCCAACACTTCCTCTGCATGCTACAAAATGTGATGCTAGATTGAAGCTGGTGATCTCATAGCCCTGGCAGAAGGATTGCTGGGCCCAACCCTTTGTGCCTCTAAGTTTTGAGTAAATAGGCTGCATTGTAATTACACATCCATAACTGACAGAAGCCCTAGTGCAAAGGGTCAGAGGAGAACTGTCAGGATCTCAATCAAAGAAAAGCTTCAGCTTCTGTGATTCTCTCCTGCTTCTTTCTTCACATCTGTTAGATATCGAGTATCTGGGGATGTTCACGGCAATATAATGACAAACTTCTAGCTTCTATTAATGGTGTTTGAAATTATAGTGTCCCCAAATGTCCTAATATTGAGTTTGTCTCTATTTGGTGAGGTGAATGCCCTTCACTTCATTTCCTGGTGTAGAAAAAAAAAATCACAGAAAAGTGGATGCAAACTTAGTTGGTACATAAGATTCATTCTGTCTCAAATAGAAAGACCAATTGTGCCCACCCCACCCCCAAAAAATGGTCCACTTCAGCATAGAAATCATCAAATAGGCCAGAACTAGCCCTGTTGATTTAAAACTATATTTGAATGACATCTTTTTTTATTTTTTATTTTCCAGAGGCAAGTGGCGGTGGTGCCAAGAAAGGTGGCAAGAAGAAGGGTTCTTCTTTCCAGACTGTGTCTGCCCTTTTCAGAGTAAGAGAGAAACTGCTCTTGACACTTGCCAGTTACTTTGAAAACTTGTTTTTAAAAGCACAGGGTNTTTTTTCTTGTCATTATTCCCTAAACAATACAGTATAACAACTATTTACATAGCATTTCCATTGTATTAGGTATTATAAGTAATCCATAGATGATTTAAAGCCTATCGGAGAATGTGTGTAGGTTATATGCAAATACTATGCCATTTTATATAAGGGACTTGAGTGTCTGTGGGTTTTCCTACCCATGGAAGGTGGGGGTCCTGAAATCAATTCCCCAGAGATATCAAGGAACAACTGTATACTTTTCTAAAGGAATCAGACAATATTTGATACAGTTTGTTTTTCCCACAACGTGCAGTATCTTGCATTGCACACAGCAGATGTTTCATAAAAGTTTAAATCCAAAGAATGAATGGCAGAGATTTACACTGTTATCATTGGAAATATTTCATTCTTTCCTCCCAATTTTGATTTTGTTTCCAACTCAAGGAAGCTGAAGGTTTGGCTGATGCAGAGGAAAGATGTGACCAGCTGATCAAAACCAAAATCCAGCTTGAAGCCAAGATCAAAGAGGTGACTGAGAGAGCTGAGGATGAAGAAGAGATCAATGCTGAGTTGACGGCCAAGAAGAGGAAGCTGGAGGACGAATGTTCAGAACTGAAGAAAGACATTGATGACCTTGAGCTGACACTGGCTAAGGTTGAAAAGGAGAAACATGCCACAGAGAACAAGGTATGGAACATACACAAGGAAAGTTGTTATTATTATTATTATAGAGTACAAACATAAAACTGACTCTGCCAAAATATAACACATAATGCAAAGTATTTTTACTTCCTCAGGTGAAAAACCTCACAGAAGAGATGGCAGGACTGGATGAGACCATCGCAAAGTTGACCAAGGAGAAGAAGGCCCTCCAAGAGGCCCACCAGCAGACCCTGGATGACCTGCAGGCAGAAGAGGACAAAGTCAACACCTTGACCAAAGCTAAAACCAAGCTGGAGCAGCAAGTGGATGATGTAAGTCTAAGATTATCAAGAAAATTATTTTCTTTGAAAGGAGGCTAAGCAATCCTTTTGACCCAACATTATTTATGTTTAGCTTGAAGGGTCTTTAGAGCAAGAAAAGAAACTTCGCATGGACCTAGAAAGGGCTAAGAGGAAACTTGAAGGTGACCTCAAGTTGGCCCAAGAGTCCATAATGGACATTGAAAATGAAAAACAACAACTTGATGAAAAGTTCAAAAAGTAAGTATGAAAGAACTATGTATGAACTTGCTTCCAGTGGAGGATATGGACTCAATTGTTATTCTTTACTATTTTTCAAAAAGGAAGGAGTTTGAAATCAGCAATCTGCAAAGCAAGATTGAAGATGAACAAGCACTTGGCATTCAACTGCAGAAGAAGATCAAAGAGTTGCAAGTAAGTTCATATTGCCATCAGTCTGGTGCACACAGGCACAATAATGACATAAAGAAGCTCAGTTTGTGCTTTTCCCCACTCCCAGGCCCGCATTGAGGAGCTGGAGGAGGAAATCGAGGCTGAGCGGGCCTCTCGGGCCAAAGCAGAGAAGCAGCGCTCTGACCTCTCCCGGGAACTGGAGGAGATCAGCGAGCGCCTGGAAGAAGCCGGCGGGGCAACTTCAGCCCAGATTGAGATGAACAAGAAGAGGGAGGCTGAGTTCCAGAAAATGCGCAGGGACCTGGAGGAGGCCACCCTGCAGCACGAAGCCACAGCGGCCACCCTGAGGAAGAAGCACGCGGACAGTGTAGCTGAGCTCGGGGAGCAGATAGACAACCTGCAGAGGGTCAAGCAGAAGCTGGAGAAGGAGAAGAGCGAGATGAAGATGGAGATCGATGACCTCGCTAGCAATGTAGAAATAGTCTCTAAAGCCAAGGTACTACAGAGTCTGGGAAACTGTTATTAACAACAATAATCCGTTATGCACACCTCATAGTTTGCACAGGCACTTTACACACATAACGTCATTTGTTCTATGCAGTAATTCAAGAGGTTAGTCAGAAAGATATTAACATATGAAGAAACCGAAATCAAAGGAATTAAGCACATCAGCCCCATCACACCATTGATAAATAAGAGCACCAACTTTTGAACATAGGTCATTTGTGTTCTCTCAATCTTCAGTTGAAGAACACAGGTCTCCAACATTTTCAATTGTCCGATAAGCAGTGTCACCCGACATAAAGGCAATGAAGTATTTATGAACGTGTTTTAGGAAGTACACCATACAAGTCTTACAAAATCTTAAATTTAGAACACAATCTTTACATTTTTTATATTAATATTGAACAGAGCTTCACAATTCACTTTTTTAAAAATCCCAATGTATATTTTCAACTTAGGACAGCAATCATAAAATATAAAGAAAAACTATCTGGTATGTCATATTATATGTAAGAGAATTCATTTCATATGTCAAAATAAATATATTTCTGTTTCAGAAGAAATTATAGCTAGAGCAAAATTATATTAAAAGGTTTTCATTTGCTCCTTTTACTTTTTCTCACACAGGGAAACCTAGAAAAAATGTGCCGCACTCTAGAGGACCAAGTCAGTGAACTGAAATCGAAGGAAGAAGAGCAGCAGCGGCTGATCAACGACCTGATGACCCAGAGGGGACGCTTGCAGACAGAATCTGGTAACTCTCTCCTCTTCTGTAGTGCCTAAGATTGGAGATGATGTTGTTAAAAACACAACTGATTTGGTGACGAGAAAGCCTAATAAAAGCAACTGAGAACATGGGTGATTCACTGAACAGTTGAGACTCTCAACCTACTTGCAAGGTCACTTGGGGACAATGTTGGAGACAAAGACTTCAGTAGGACTGGAGCAAGCTCTCCCCCAGACAGGCCTTGAGTATCTAGCTACACTGAGGGGATGCTTGGGGTTAGGAATCACTCCAACATAGGTCCAGGGCTTCTGTTTGACACCAAGCTTCTTTTTGTCTATATCACAGTGAACCAAGTTTCTGAGTAGGGCAATGGATAACCCAGTCTGTCAGAAGTCTTATGAAATTGGGACGAGGTAGAATTAGACGTTTTAGTTCCCTTCTTTGACAGTTATCACCAGGTTTTACACAATATCATATGCCCTGAAAGAATTAGTTATGGAGGGAACAAAGAGAATCTAAGCCACATGTATTCATTCAGATTAATATGTAAGTTTCACCATAAAAATCAGAAATTTGACATTAAGCATGAAGAGGTCAATAGATAATTCAATCATCTCAGCACTCAATTGGAGAGGATGTTAAAAGTTAAAATTTATTTCTAATATGGGCTTACACTTTTTTTCTTCACTTAAAAAAAATGGTGCCATTTCTTTTGCCTGTCAGGTGAATTTTCACGTCAGCTAGATGAGAAAGAAGCTCTGGTGTCTCAGTTATCAAGGGGAAAACAAGCATTTACTCAACAGATTGAGGAATTAAAGAGGCAACTTGAAGAGGAGACAAAAGTAACTACTATTATAAGACATTTTTCCCCCCATGACTTGACCCTAATTGGAGTCCATTACATCAACCTTTAAAGGGTGTTGAAACTTCATAAGTAAATATTTAAATATCCAGTAAAAAGTGAAAATGTACTTATTTCCGCAGGCCAAGAACGCTCTGGCCCACGCCCTGCAGTCCGCCCGCCATGACTGTGACCTGCTGAGGGAACAGTACGAGGAGGAGCAGGAATCCAAGGGCGAGATGCAGAGGGCACTGTCCAAGGCCAACAGCGAGGTTGCCCAGTGGAGGACCAAATACGAGACAGACGCCATCCAGCGCACAGAGGAGCTGGAGGAGGCCAAGTACGTGTACAGATAAGAAAGAATGTGCAGAAAACTTTGCACATTGAATCAGAAAGATACAACCTTTGAAGATTCCGTGAATTCGCCCGCAAACGTTCATTAATTAGCTCCTTTGCCAGGCACTGTCAAGCCCTAGGAAGACATGAATAAAGCAAACTCAATCTCTACCCTTCTCGCCTAAAATCTAGTTAAGGAAACAGAGACTACCAAATAATTACACAGATAATTAGGCCTTATTGCTGTTGGTCAAGCACAGCAAGCTCATTGCTACTTCAAAGTCTTGCACTTGCTGGTCCCTCTGAAATACTTTCCCCCCAGATCTCCCTCTAATTCACTCTCTGACTTCTTTTAGATCTTAACTCAAATATGACCTCCTGGGAGAAGCCTTCCCTGACTATCTAGAATAGTTGCCCACCTCATACTCTATTTTATTTTTCATCATTGCACTATTTTCAGCAATACGTTATTATTCATTTTCTCATTTGCTTATTGTTTATCACTCTCATTTGTGCGGAAGGTTTATGAGGCAGGGACCTTTTCTGTCCCATTCACTGCTGTGTGCCCAGTGTTTGGTTCATAAAAGGAGTTCATCAATATTTGTTGAGTGAATGAATGGATATTTTTAATGTGAATATTTTTATATGAAGTTTCCAATAATGTTCAGTGTGGTAATAGTTCATAATTCTTGTTTTGGCTCACATCTCTATACAAATACGTGTATATAATCTTCAAGGAAGAAGCTGGCCCAGCGGCTGCAGGATGCGGAGGAACACGTAGAAGCCGTGAATGCCAAATGTGCCTCCCTTGAGAAGACCAAGCAGCGGTTACAGAATGAAGTTGAGGATCTCATGCTTGATGTGGAGAGAACAAATGCTGCCTGCGCGGCCCTGGACAAAAAGCAGAGGAACTTCGATAAGGTAATTTCTGAAGCAGCCTCTGCTCTCCATTATTTTCCTCCATCCTTTACAGCAGGTAACCACTCTTGGTTTTTCAGGTCCTGGCAGAATGGAAACAGAAGTATGAGGAAACCCATGCTGAGCTCGAGGCCTCCCAGAAGGAGGCCCGCTCTCTTGGCACTGAGCTGTTCAAGATGAAGAATGCCTATGAGGAATCCTTGGATCAGCTAGAAACTTTAAAACGGGAGAACAAAAACTTGCAACGTGAGTCCCTTTCACTTTCAATAATATTCATGCCTTAAAGGAACTTTTCTCTTATGGCTTCTGTCTGACCAAATCTCTACCTTTCTTTTACCCAAACAACAGAGGAGATTTCTGACCTCACCGAGCAGATAGCAGAAGGGGGCAAACGTATCCATGAACTGGAGAAAATAAAGAAACAAGTGGAACAAGAAAAGGGTGAACTTCAGGCTGCTTTAGAGGAAGCAGAGGTACAGGTCAAATTGTGCATGATAAACAAATTCAGGAAAGAATTAGGCCCATCCATATGGATTGAATAAAAAGATAAATAGCACAACATTTGTGGAAGGAAAGGTGAGCAGAAAAACTTCCAAATATTTCCATTCCCTGCTAATGTCACCTCTTGCTGTCATCAAGGCATCTCTTGAACATGAAGAGGGAAAGATCCTGCGCATCCAGCTGGAGCTGAACCAAGTCAAGTCTGAAATTGACCGGAAGATTGCTGAAAAGGATGAGGAAATTGACCAGCTAAAGAGAAACCACGTTAGAGTTGTGGAGTCGATGCAGAGCACGCTGGATGCTGAGATCAGGAGCAGGAATGATGCCATCAGGATCAAGAAGAAGATGGAGGGAGATCTGAATGAAATGGAAATCCAGCTGAACCACGCCAACCGCATGGCTGCTGAGGCCCTAAAAAACTACAGGAACACCCAAGGCATTCTCAAGGTAAATGGGTTCAAGAGATGGTCCCAGGGCAGTTGGGGTGACTGCAGCCCTGAGAACAAGATGTCTCAATGATCGTTCATTCCACAGGACACCCAGATCCACCTGGATGACGCTCTTCGGGGCCAGGAGGACCTGAAGGAGCAGCTGGCCATGGTGGAGCGCAGAGCCAACCTGCTGCAGGCTGAGATAGAGGAACTGAGGGCCATGCTGGAGCAGACGGAGAGGAGCAGGAAGATTGCAGAGCAGGAGCTCCTGGATGCCAGTGAGCGCGTCCAGCTCCTGCACACCCAGGTGGGATTCAGCACAAAAAACTCACCTTCAATAAATGCCTATATGTCCCAGAAAATATAAGCTTAAGTTTTTATTTGACAGCCAGTTTTTATACTTGTACCAATTTTTCAGTGTATTACTGAGAAATGTTTTGCTCTTTTATTTTGCATAAATTAATTTATTCATTGCCTATACTATTCTAAGGCTACCCATATTATTTATTGACCCAGTTATCAATATTGACATTTTTATTGTGGAGAAATGAAATGTTTGAACATCTGTTATAATTTTATCCCTGTGAATGGTCTGATTGGTAAATGGCAGTTATAAAATTATAGAGATATTTGGCCTAATTGTAAACCATGTTCATGAAAATGCTGACTATAACTTTTCAATTTTATCTAATTATACTACATAACAAAATAATATTGAAGAGCATTTGATATGCAAATTTTCAACTGAAATTTTTTCCCTAAAATGGCTACCACTAAGTTCTTAAATAACATGATAAAAAATTTATAACTTATTTTTAAACAGAACACCAGCCTGATCAATACCAAGAAGAAGCTGGAGACAGATATTTCCCAAATGCAAGCAGAGATGGAGGACATTGTCCAGGAAGCCCGCAACGCAGAAGATAAAGCCAAGAAGGCCATCACTGATGTGAGCAGAGGGCAATGCAGTGGTGGTCAAACCTGAATCATGATGTGCTATCTCAGCACCCTCAATTGATTTTGTTTTTATTGCTAACTAGGCGGCCATGATGGCGGAGGAGCTGAAGAAGGAGCAGGACACCAGCGCCCACCTGGAGCGGATGAAGAAGAACCTGGAGCAGACGGTGAAGGACCTGCAGCACCGTCTGGATGAGGCTGAGCAGCTGGCCCTGAAGGGCGGGAAGAAGCAGATCCAGAAACTGGAGGCCAGGGTGGGTGTCTCAATATTTATCTATTTCCATTTGCTCCCAATGCCTTATTGGATCAAAATTCTTAAGAGCCTATTTATTCGCAGGTGCGTGAGCTTGAAGGAGAGGTTGAGAGTGAGCAAAAACGTAATGCTGACTCTGTCAAAAGTCTGCGCAAACATGAGAGGAGAGTGAAGGAACTCACTTACCAGGTACTACAGAATTTTTTATCAGTTAAGCACTTCTCCATATACACGTGAAATACTCATGTGCAATGATACAATGGTCATGTGCTTTAGAAGTAAAGCCCTGTGGTTTCTATAATCTTTCAGACAGAAGAAGATCGGAAAAATATTCTCAGGCTTCAGGATTTGGTAGATAAGCTTCAAGCGAAAGTGAAATCTTACAAGAGACAAGCTGAGGAGGCTGTAAGTATCCTTAAGATAGAAGGGAAGAGAGAAGTACTCTGTTAAGAAAAGCTAGTAAATAATTAGATTTACTACACCTGTAGTACATAAGCTGTTTGGTTTATAGAAGACTGTGTACTTCTTAAAAACTTTTGTGCATTTTATACTTATTGCTTATTATTTGTAATATTAATAGCTTGATTTTAAAGTAAAATTTCAATCTACAGACAAATCGCAAAAAATTTCAAAGCAGAAATGATATAGGTCACACACATTCTCTAGCAACAGTGTGATAAAATTGTAAAGTGATGAGAACTATAAACAAAAATTCCCAAATACTTAATCATAAAAAAAAAAACTTTCCTAAATATTTTTGGATTAAATTAGAATTGCTGAATTAAATTGCTGAATATTTATCAACTACAAATAAAGTTTCAAGTAAGATGCTACTTTTATAAACCTATAGAGTGCAGTCAATGCTGTCATTGGAGGACAATTCATTGCTTCATATGAATCAAATATAAATGAATAAACTAACATTTCAATAAACAAGTTATAAATAATAATGAAATAATGGAAGTAAGTACTGTTGAATGCAAAGTAAGAAGTTGATAAATTAGAGTATACTATTTTCTAATTTGCTGATTTCAGTTATACCTGATAATTTCTGGGGAATTAATAAAATAATAGTAATAAAATAAATACACTTACATCTAGCTCAGTCAAGGAAAAAGAGACAGAAAATACAAATTCTCATTAGGAATGAGAATGTGGACAAGCCCTACAAGTAGGTTTACATTTTTTAAAAGTAAAATATAAATCTGTCAACGAAGTTGAAATCTTGAAGAAATTGGTGATTTTTATACAAGAATATGAATTACTAAGTTAGCTGAAAAAGTTACTTCAGAATTACTTCTGAAAACAGACTCAGGTTCAGATAGGTCTTTCAGAACTTCAAGGAACAGATAATCCCCGAGTTATGTAAACCATTCCAGAGCATGGGAAAATATGGAAAGCTTTCCAAATCATTTTAAGAAGCTCACATGATTCTCATACCAAAACCCTTCCAAGAGAGAATGGGGGATAAAACTAACAGCAGTTTTACTCATGAGCATAGTCATAGTAAAGATAAATTAGTAAGTTGCTGAAACCTTTACTTTATTCAGGGGATTGTCCATCAGTAATTAAATAGGTTTAATTCCTACAATGGAAGCATTACTTAATATTAGGGAATCTGTTAACAGAATCATTACAGCCAAAGCAGGAGAAAAAAGTACTTGTTTTGAAATGTGACAAAATGATATATGATAAAATTCAACATTGTTTTCAATTTAAAGAGACTACTAAGAAATTCATCCTTAATATAGTAAAGAATATCTAACTTGAGCAAACAGTCATAGCAAGCGTAACAAGCATGACTTTAATATTCTTGCCTTCTTCTCTGCTCTTATATTTTTTCTTGTTCTACTTGTGGTATGTATCTTTTAATATGTTTTGGTTAGAAAAATACAGATATGATTATTTATGAGACACCAAGCCCCAAATAAATCATAAAATTAACTTCGATGATAAGCAAAATCCAGAAGATGGTAAGACAATCATGCTTCTTGTTGAGTGTTTTTACTTATCAGTCGACACCAAGTCCTTTCTTCCCTTAGGCCTAGAGAGTCTAGAAAGATGCACAGCATGGGTTCCTTACAATTCCATTTTTATTCTCAGGAGGAACAATCCAATACAAATCTGTCTAAATTCCGCAAGCTCCAGCATGAGCTGGAAGAGGCCGAGGAACGGGCTGACATCGCTGAGTCCCAGGTCAACAAGCTGCGGGTGAAGAGCCGGGAGGTTCACACAAAAGTCATAAGTGAAGAGTGATCATGCCCCGGTGCTGTGGAATGACTGAAGAGAGGCACAAAATGTGAAGTCTTTGGTCATGTCCATCTGTAATTATTGTCTATTCTACC